GCGGATCGTTGACAAGTGGGGGAGGGGTGAGGGGAGGGGGTGCGCATTGCCGCCGGCTAGGGGAAAAACCGGCTAGGGGGGCGAATGAAGGCAGAATGGGAGGAGCACCGTGGACTAATTCGCGGTGGCATTAGCATTTGCCGTACGAATAGGTATCGGCAATAGTAATAATAGTAACGACATGGCGCCTACAATCGACGAAGATAATCAGATCCGAGACCGAGATTCTGTAGAATTATTTTGGCGGTTTGTTTTTTACGCGAAAATCGGAAATTGTCTTTACGAGCTACGTGTTTTTACGGATTAATCCAATATCTCAAGATGTGAGATTTATATTTTATATCTTTATCATTTCTTTGTTTACTTTTTATAACGAATCCATAAAAGTCATGCGCGCGAAAATATATATCAATGAGTTTATCTCTAGCGATCGAGAGTAAGTTTGAACGCGAGTCGCGATTTTTGAAAAGTCATGAATTTTCTATACGACGTTCGTGCTAAATAAATTCGCGGAGAGAGATAAAATGTATGTGTCGATACGGTCGCACGGTTATCTTCGATCGAGAGTAACCCCCAAAATCTTCGAAGGATGTGTTACGAAAGTGGGTTACAATTGAGAATTTGGGCGATCGTTTATATTCTTCAATGAGATGCCGATGTTGTCCCCGATTTTTTTTTCTCATAGTTATTCATTCATTAAAATCCTGCATCTTAAAAAAAGTATTGTAGCGTATGAAAATTGTATCAAAATTAAGCACAGTATGTACATCGCTTTACTAAAACTTTGCTCGTTGTACATAATTAAAGCAATATTCTAATGTGCTAAGAAATCGTTGAGGATCTCGTCGTGGAAAGAAACTTTGCGGAAATTATAATTAAACGCGTAGATTCACGATCTTGGTATTTACAACGTAAATGGCTTATAATTGGCAAACGTAGCTAATCGACTTTGCGACCTTATCACACCAGTAACAAAGTCTTAAAACTTCTAATAGGATTGAGTAGCAAGCTTTTAAAGCTTCCATGTGTCGGGCAAATTTCAACGATCGATGATCGTTACGTCGTTATATCTTCAAAACTAAGTTTTACGTGATCTAAAATACTCACGAAATTCCGCCGAATATTACGGACAAATACATGTACACATTCGTTTCAAATATCGCGTAAAATCAATTTTAAAACGCACATGCGCAACTGAATTATGTCTTTCGAGATATGACATAATTTATAACGTTTATTCGTGTGAGCGACGATCATCTTTAATATTTTATACATTATCGCGCAAACAACTGCAAATAATAGAACATGATTCAATTAAAGAATTGATGAAGAATAAGTGGAAACAATTACCAAAAAATATATCAAGTTTGCAATAAAATAAAAACACGTTCGTTTATCATATCAATTTTTTTGCAAGATAAGTTTTTTGTTATTTATTTAACATTTTCATATTGATAAGAATTTATTTGACAAAGATTTTAAAGCAGAAGTTTTTGAAAAAAAAGATTACGAAGAGGAGAATATATATATACTAGAGAAATAAAAAAAATTAAATGTTAATATTATGTTAATCAAAATATTTCTCTCTTTTTTAAAAATGATTGCTTGCCATTAGGTCATCTTTGTGTAAGCGTACAACGTAGTCTTTAATTAATAAGTTATCTCGCCGCGAATTAAGAGGTTGATTCATACATCATTAAAAGAGTCGGTCGAGCAAACACCGGAAACGTACCGGTACTGAAAGTTTATGTTTGACGCGGCCATAAATATCCTCGCGCGCGAACCACTTGAAATTCGCGGACTGTTTAACGCGAAGTGTAACATCGTGTTAAATATAACGTTTCAATTAAAAATTCGCGACGTATAAACGCTACTAAATAAATAAAACTCGGGAGAAAAATAATTTACAAAATACGATTTACATGCGGGCCGAATAAAAGCGTGAGAAATAAACTCTCGAGAATAAAATCATGAATATTGTGTATTCGAAATTTAATCTCGTGATACTTTGCACACATTTTGTTGGGCAGATAACACTATTACATTTTAACTTTGAATTAATCGCGTGATATTTAATTAATTGTATTTCATATTTATCTTGAATAAAATAAATTATTCGAAATTTTTTAATTGTAAGCAAGAACTATATAAGATTATTAATTTCTAATTTAGCAACTGTTATACAATACAAAAATATAACAAAATATAGCAACTTGTCATCAAAGAATGTCAGAAAAGAATTCGAGCATAATATAAAAATTAGCGAAAGATTCTAAAGAAATATACCTGAAAAAATGGGTTTTACCCTCGTATTACATATATAAACGCGAGATACATATGCGAAAATTGATTTTTTCTTCGATTAAATCTATTCGTATACGCGAGCACAGATTTAACAAAATGCATCAGATATTGTACGAATTCACAAGTTATCGATAAAAATTCACATCCAGGCTAAATGATACGTGAAAATTGACCTTATGTATGTAAACCACGTATCTTAAAAGTGAGCGTGAATCTCTCATCGAAATGGGACGCGACCCCGGAAACATCATCAAAACGAATTTGCATTCGAAGCTCATAAAATAAATATCCGCGAAAGGTCTTAAATCGTGCGCGTTGCAACGGTGCCGAGAGTTCTCGGCGCGTTGTGATGTATGGCCGTGTCGAAACAGCGCGAACAGTGCGATTAACGGGTTCGAAAACGTCGCATATCGGTATTGCTAGGGGCATTCTAGGGCAAAGGTTGAGGAACGCCGGCCTCGTCGCATGGCAAAGCGAAAGCCGCAACCCTTCACGGAGGGCCGCCTCTCCTCTTCATCTTCTTCATTTCCCACCGCCCCGCACCCTTTGCGTATCTCACTCCCTTCCTCGCGCGCGTACTCTCCTTCCTTCTTGTTCTCATCTTCCCCCGGTTTTTTTCTCTCCCTCTTTCCACCGCGAGTTCCCTCACTCGTTCCCCCGTCCAATTTCCTCCTCTTCTTCCTCCTCCTCTTTACCCTTCCTTCCCTCCCTCACCCCCTTTGCTACGTACGTACGTCAGGCGCGGTGCGCTCTCTTCGTGCTTTCCGACCTACCCCAATATCCCTTCTCCCCTTTTCTCTCTCTCCTTCTTTCTCTCGCCATTCTCCATCTGTTTTTCTCTTTCTCTCTTTCGCAATATTCCGATACTCCTCCACCTTGGCGTCCCTCACACCGACATTCATGCAGCACTCTTTCTGCCTACCTTCTCTTTCTATTTCTGTTTTCTTCATTCTCTATCTATTCGTGCCGCAGCGTTATTTTCTCTCCATCACACGTAGCTGATTGTTAGTGAACCGCCTATGACAATGCGCATGTATGCGCGATCGATGTTTTAATAGAATCACTAGACTATTTTAAGTGGGAAACAATAATGGGAATTTTCTTAAATCGTGAAACTCGACGGTTGGCGATTTTCTTTGATTATGTAAATTTATAATTGCTCCAATGTTGCATCTCTAATTACAAATTTTCATTTGATAAAATTGATAAGCTCTTACGTTTTGGTATTGCAAAATTAATTCGCTGCAGTATTCCATAAATTATTTCTGCGATGATTAGAACTTTAATATTTTCGCTCTTATTTATGCCTCCGATTAAACCGATTGAATTGCGATTCAGCGATTCGCCAAAGAATCTACCCCGTAAATATCAGATTGAGGGTTCTAGGACACTGTATATATACGCGATGCAATGTTAACGACATCGTTCCGGTCACGGATGATCGACGCAACGGTTAATGCGTTAATCGAGGTAAACGCAATAAACCGCGCACGCATAAAAATAGATCGACCTACGAAGAGGCATATTTGTTTACCCGCGCGCGATCTCCTCTATCTACAAATATTTTACCCTCAATAAAATGATGTTTTAAATAACGCATAAAAATGCATCTATTAATGCAAATGAATGAAACTCGAATAAATGCAATAAGCATAAAAATGTTTTATAACCTACTTTATTGT